ACAATAAATAATATAATATCCCATTTACATCTCATTGCTGGGCATTGAGTCTCTTCGAAGGAAATAGTTTATGATTCCAAAAGTGGTTTATATCGAATACCCTCTGGTTATGGACCCTGTCCATTCCAACCAAAAAGGGGTCAAAGTCATCGAAAAGAAATGGGGGGGGGGGGGTTGTGCGCATGAGACGTTATGTACAAGAGAGTGGAACCCACTGAGGCGGGTCGTGATGTACATTTTGTCTTTCCATAAATGGAATAATCCACATTACACAGACAGCACCTGTACTTACATAATACTTTCCTATTATGGATACTTAAATTACCTATGAAGTAAACATTTCACAACAAACAAGATATTTAGATAAATGTATAAAACTTACTATATGTTCGTAGGAAATGAAACATTTTTTTTTTTAAACTAAATCACGTATATTAGTTTTTTCATACAAACCAACGTTTCGACTCTTTACAGGTGCCATGGTCACGGCTTACTAAGATGGAAAAGTCGTCCAAAAAAAAAATAGTTTCACTTCCTATTTGTAACAATCACGAAAATCTAAGAACTCCTAATTAATATGTGTTTATGTAAAGTTTCTCACTATACAGTCATACTTACCAAACCGAGAAGCACTGTGTCTACTGTCAAAAACACGTTTGAAGTTGATCAATTAAAAAAATATCGATATTAGGAAGGTAGGGGGACACAAAACAGAAAAAATAGCACGTTGTTTGTAAGCCAAAAAATTTTGGGAACTTCTGGTTCAGACCATGGTGTACCTATGTTACTCTAATGCGAGGTCTTTTACACATCTTTAAAAAGTTCTTTTGCTAACCAAAAATCGTGCAATATATTCACATAAACATACTAAAGAAATAGCCTCCTTAAAAAAAAAAATTACAGGTAAAAAGGTCGACATGTCCTTTTTATAGATCACTCCATCATCACTGCGAGCACTGGGTACAGGTCGCTCATTCTACGCCAAACCGGACGTTTTTCGGCAAAAAATTATTGTTGATAATTCCGATTTTTTTTTTCATTTTGCAGGCGCATTCTATGCATGAATATCGGATGCGATATTTCGCAGTTTGTTTTAAAAGATATTGTTGTACGACTTGTTCAAACTTCTGTATCGTCGAAGCCATAGCTGTGAAAAGAAGTGTAATAATAGGTCAATTTTGAAGATCTTGAGCAATTCCATTTTGTGGTGTATTTAAAATTTGGGATTGATTTATTTTTCATTTTATTATAAGTTATTTAGTATAAACAAGTTATTAAAACAATAATTTACAATAAAATTCGTTTTTTCCCTCATCAAGTCATTAACTTTAAATTTTTGAAAATATACCGAACTGTTCTAAAAAAAAAATAATTGAAAATTGAAAGTGGAGCACAAAATAATAAAAGTATTTTTTTCACAAAATATCCAATGTACACTTTGTATACCTAAGGGACAAGGACCGTCTTGTCCTACAGGACTTTCCTTCAAAACCGTAACGCAATAATGCTCACATCACTTCTTGACGGTAGAAATAGGTAAGGTGGCAGTACTTCCCTGGACGAACTCTTTCACAAGGAGTACTACAGCTACTAAAAACATTTATTTATGGGAAGACGAAACTTTTTTCTGCAAAGTTTACAGAGTCGTAGCACTAAAGTTGTTTATTTTCGAGTTCATTAAAAATAATGATTGATTTCAAAAAGTGTTAAAAGGATTTTCGTTTAATTAAAATAACCCTTCGCAGCAATGATATTATACTCTGCTTCGCAGAGTGTCACGTGGAGCAGTGCAAAAACAACTACTTTCCTTATTAACGTTCTTGGAGTTCTCAAAAATCAGTTACATAAATGTTTATATGTCAAGTTGAATTTCTTTCTTGAATGAATTTGAATCTGTTTAAACAACTGGAATAAAAATGTGAATGATCAGTAAAGTATTTATAATTTTTCATTCCATTTTCTTGTCGTATTCTTTGGTACATGTATGCAGATGTGACATTACGCATGATATTACCATCTCTTAAAACCGTCGTGGACAACATTCGGTAAGTATTCCGCAAGACAGGACTATGAGTCAGAATTGAGATTTCTACATCGGTAATTATCTCACCGTATGTACCGAACACATACGTATGTTTACGGCAACATGATCTACTTACGCTCTCTTTAATCTTTGTACGTAAAAATGTCACACGGGAAAGATAATTAAAATAGGGCACGTATTGTTCGCCGCTTTTTGAATCTGAGTCTCTGACCCCGAACGACTGTGCCATTGGCGGGGAGTACCGCCTGTCCCATTTAAAAATTTAAAAGTAATCTTTAACATCTTGCAGGTTGTATAGATCGATATTAGAAATAAATATTGTGAATGATAAATGTGTGCAAATGTTTATTTATTATAGTGGTTACACGATGACTTTTAGCAGCGATGCAAACACGCGATTACATCGCTACACTTGCGATTTATAAGCGTTTACATCGACGTAAACGCGCGACTGCATCGATACAAACACGCTTGTATGGATTTGATTTTTTTTAAACGTTTGTATCGATGCAGTCGCGGGTTTGCATCGCTGCTTAAAGTCGCGCGTGTGTGTAAAGGTAGACGATCAGCTACTGCACCGCGTTTGCATCGCTAAGTCGCCGTGTGTAACGCTCTTAGGGTCGTATTCCAGAACTGTACTCAATGCTCAAGTCAGGATTTGAGCAGACTTGAGTATGATTTCTAGTGCTTTGAATCATACTCAAGTCCTGACTTGAGCAGACTTGAGTATGCTTTCAAGCACTGGAAATACGATCCTAACGGCAAGGACTTGAGTATGATTTTCAGTGCTCACTGCAATACGCAAGTCCTAACTTGAGTATTGAGTAGAGTTCTGGAATACGACTTTTAGAGTTTCTGCTCATGCTGCTCAGGGCAATTTGCCTTACGAATGAGTAGCAGATTTTAATCAATAACGATCTCATGTGTACTTTGGTTACCTGTGAAATAAAGATACATTTAACTTTGAGTTGTGTTGGGCTCACGTGCGAACGAAGACTGCAGAGATGGAAAAACAATTCTCTTGATTTTTCATAAAAATAATTCGTAATCAACGTTTGCCGGCACAATAAACAATATTTTTTGTACGGTAATGATAAGAAAGCAATTTGTGAATTTCAATCAACTGTATTTATAAACAAAATTGATATCATGATGTAACGAGTGCCGCTAATTTATTATTCACGTACGTTTTCACGCATCACAAAGTGGGTTCATAAATTGAAGTGGCACGGGGCGGACGTGTTTAAAAATGCACACAGATCCATTGATCTTCTTTCCCTGTATAATGGATATGGAGTGAAATAAACGGATACTACAAGGAGGAAAAACAATTGACCTTCAGGAGTAGACTCCGGGTATTTATTTTAAATGTTATTATAACACAAGTGAACTATAAATTTAGCAATTTCCACACACATATACAGTTTTTTTTAAATGAGTCAGTAATAGGGAAATCGAAATCCGAAACCATAGAAGATACAAGGAAACTGTCTTAGGAACCATATAGACTTTTTTTGTAAAAACAATTTTGACACAGTTAATTTTTTGGCCAAGTGTGAGTTGTTCATAAAAATGAATAAAATTGATCAAATTTTTTAGTACCGATCGTCCCAGTTTGGAAAAAATATTGGGACAGCAGAAGTAGCGTCAAATAAAAAAAACATATAAAACATACAATTAATAACATTTTATTAAATTATTAATACAAAGATCGGACACTCAGAAAAATTCTTTCGATCTGGCCGGATTCGAACAGACGTCTTCTAGCTTACCGTGCCAGACGCTATACCAACTAAGCCACGGAACGTACCAGCGGACCTCACGAATTTTTCTATGTGTTTGCGTCGTGTCTTTGTATTACCTATGTATACCTCAGTATTAGAAACATAAATTAATTATTAATTCTACCTTGAATATAATTTCATTCTAAATTAATTCGTTCGTTAATATTGTTTTGTTATATTAACGTAATATTTTTTTTACGATACTAAGTGACTTTTTACTATAACACTGGTATAGGGTCAAGAGTACGTCAAGCTTGATACTTAAGGTTTAAATCAAACTCTGTCACTTACGATAAGATCGGTCCAAAGTGTCAAGCTTGACATGCTCTTGACTGTACGTAGCTGAAATTCTCTAATTAGAAACCGAAACTTATGTTGTCTGTGCAATAAAAAGGGTAAAGGATATTTATGTTTTTTAGGTTCCCGAAGATAACAGAGGTAATGGAATAAATATGACACATGACGACGGCACACATTTGACATATTTAAGCATTGGGAGTTTTTATGCTGGTTGATGTGATAGCCAAATAAAAGGACCCTTATATATTATTCATGTAAAAGATTTTATTAATATTTCAAACACAATTTACTATGTACATTACATTGTAAAAATATTCATTCTTGTCTTATTATTTACTGATTCATTTATTGTTATAGGCAACACTTATAAAACACAGTATAGTAAAAATCATACCATAACGATGATACCATATTGATGATAGAAAATTATTATGAAAAAATAGACAAATCCATTATAATTTAAAACAATAAGTACATTGTAATTATGCACTCAATAATGCACGATAAACATATTCCTGCTATAAATATCGAAGTAATTAACAACTTAGTCAAATGGCATTCTTCATAGAATTTTATTATTATTAAAATTCATTAAAATAACGATGTGGCGTTAATTAATTATTAAACCATCGATCAGCCTAATTTCATTGCAGTATTAAAATTAGTACAACGGAAATGCAGCTTTTTCACTGGACACATAAACCTATCTAAATTACTAACACCTTTAACAGATCCACTAAATCAGAAAACTAATGTCACAATCATTGTTTTCGTTCACGTTATTTTAGGTACATTGTGCTTCGAAATAAATAAAGTATGTACCTGTTGCAGGTGGATACACCGTAGCTGCGCAGTAAAAATAGGCCGAACGATCCCCTCGCACAGTAAGACGTGCGGATCAAGAAAACATAATTATTTTATTACAGCGTACCCCGTTCTATACTACGAACAGACTTAAAAATATGTATATGTATGTATGCATATAATCACACGCCCTCGGCACGTATATCATAGATGCTAAGAGGCACGAGAGGGCGTCTATAGGGAAGACTGGAGCACTAGACTAAATAATACTTACGCAGACAAAGTATCGACAATTCCGAGATGAAAAAATAATAACGCTCGGGGAGATCTGCCAACTACATGTGATTGCGATAGTGTCGCCATCTATGAAGCCTATTTCCGAACTTGTATGTTACAATTTCATATAAAGTATTGGATTTGTCGGTAATAAACATGCAATGTTTTTACAAAATCGTTTAAAAAATCAATTAAACCTGCACTTTTCTTAGGTAATAAATATACGAATTTAAAGATTAGTTAGGCGATAGTTTTCAAAAGGAAGCGAATAGTACAGAAGCAACGTGACGTTACGGACATGGCGGGACACGTTTCTTCTATATGTTGAATACTCTCGCAGTAAATTACAATTCATAGCTGTCATATGGCTAATATTCTAAGTAATTTGAGTAAAAAAAAATAAAACGTAGAATACGTCACACGACAGATGTGTTACAGCGAGAGTACCGATAGTATAGGAAAGGGAAAGTGTAGATCTACGTAGATATTATTCGGTCTCACGTGCGTGGGGGTTTAGCGGCGAGGGCCCCAAACAGAAGGGGCGGACGCAGCGGGGGCAGGGGCGCGGTTTGCTCCCGGCATTGTGGGGAATTCGTGTGTCGAGGCCGTGTCTGGGGCGCGTTGTTCCCACGGCCCGCCCTTTACCACGAAACCAGCAGCGGGCGCGCCCGTCGCGTTGGCGTTGGACGAGTCCCCTCCACTTAACTCGCCGAAATCGCCAAGAGATGGCGCCGCTGGCCTTTGGTAGCGGTCTACTACATCTTGTAACTGTTGGCAACATTAGAATAAACATGACTATGTTATTTTTTAAATATATCTCTATATCACGCCCACTAAAATAATAATCTAAAAGTATTTAGTTCTTCAATCGGCAAGAGCAATTTTACGTACAATATATTAATTAGGTTACTCACATACAAATCGTAAATGACAAAATTATTTTTGAAGACAAGGATGTCGTGTATTCGAACCGCAGGCTTCTTTGTGTTACCTGGTAGTGAATTTTCAGAAATCTAAAAAAAAATCAGATTGTGCTAGGGAAAAAAAGATAGCAGATAACTTACATATTCCTCAGCTAAATTGAGGAGATGATCCTTAGCGTCTAGTACATTATCTTCATCCCCAGTGATGACCACGAGGCTGTCATCCTGGTTCTTGGGGAAGCGGATGTCGACCTTGAAATCGTCCATGATTTTGCGAATATTCTTGCCGCGCAGTCCGATCAGCCGCCTATGCACGCGAGAATCGATGTCTACTTCTTCGCGGCATTGACTGTTCTGTGTTTACAAATAGGTATTTTTTGGGTTATAATTGATATAAACAACAGTATCAATGTACTTATTTACTAAGTGTGACATGACAACATTTGCACAACGTTTTCATAAGTATATTCTATATTTGTTTCTTGCGTGCGTTTGTTTAATTTTTACAAAGTAATGAACTTATATCATTTTGAGTTAATATCGCCATCCAGTTCGGTAAAAGCTGAGCGTCTTTTGCATAGAACAGTAAAAGACTAATAAGGCTTGGCGTCGTGAAAAATTAGCTTTCACTTTTAGTCATAAACATGCTTGTGACTAAATAATAGAAAAGTTAAATGATTTTTAAACGTTTTTTTAGTAAAAATAGATAGCGGTACATACATTTATGTCAGCACTGACTTTATTTCAGGTAGTATTAAAATTTGTGCGTGTATTTTTTACCAACATTTAAAAATTCTCCAAATTCGAAAATCGCCTCCAGTGCAACAGAACAAGATACGTCAATGTGTAGCTTGATGTGCTAGCGTGTGCACTAAAATTCTCCAATTTGATCATTCTTTCTCTGGACTCTTCATATGACAAGGTATACTCATAGACATATTTAAAGGAGCGCAAAAAAGATTGAATTTTGATAACAATGTTCATATGATTGTTAATTACTGGGTACATATACCAGAACGCTTAATCGAAATCAAAACACGATTGAAGTCATTGTTTTTTCAATTTAAACATTCTGGTATGTGTGGCCAATAGTGAATGTGAATAGTGTTATCTTAATTCACCTATAAATAGGTGCATGAGTGTATTATAAATTATCTACTACAAAATCTTCGCGGCACTACTTGTTAACTCCTACAAAACGGATTATGAAATCTAAATTTATTATTATTGTTATTGAATTATACTTGGATGACAAAAATCCGTGGTGTAGTGATCCATTTAGGTCTTTCAGGTATTCTCGATCTAAGATGTTTAAATTAAAATAATGTAATGATAAATGTATTCAAAGTATATTTACAAAGAGCAATCCCTAGAGTTTCTTGCTCATTTATCTTAGGGAAATTTGCCTTACGAATGAGCAGTAGAGTTTTATCATTATGAGATTTCAAGTGTAATTTGTTTACCCATGAAGCAAAGATTTACTTTACTTTGACTTTATTGTTATTCATATTTGTTCATTTCATTTGATTTTTATTGACTGCAGTATAGTTTCTTAGTCGAGTACCATTGTAAGTGTATATACATTTCTACACTATATATAAAACTACAATTTTGCTATAATATAGTTACAACTTACAAGTTGATCGACAATTGCCATAATCGCTTGCTTGGCCTGATGCGCCTTATCTTCGTAACCCTGGATGGTGATGATGTCGTCATCGGGTTCCCCGCGCTTTGGAAGGTTAATTTGAACTCCGTAGTCTGTCCGGATCTTAGTGATCACGGATCCACCTTTGCCGATCACCAATGGATGGTACTCAGGGTCTACTTTGAATTTTAGCTCAAATGACCTATTGACAAATACAAATATTTTATGTAGCTGTATATAATATGTCTTAACTACTCTAGCTTAAGAAATGAAGAATGAATTTATGATGACCTCCGTAGTTGAGTAGCTTGTATACCGGTTTTGATGGTGTCGCCATCTCCGAGGTCTCGGATTCGAAACCCGGACGGATCAATGTAGAAAAAGTTACTATATTGTTTCGGGTCTGAGTGTTTGTGGTACCGTCGTTATTTCAGATTTCCATAACAAAAGTGCTTCTTTGGAATCAGAGCAACGTATGTTGTCTAATATTTATTTATTTAGGTGAAAACCAAAGGTTAGAAAAAGGTGTTTCACATTATATAGACACATGTATAGACATAGCTACAGGGAGCAACATAGTTGCTAAAACCACCAAATAGTATTTGATTATTTTCCATTTCCAGATTTCCGGAAATGGTTTTACTGCATCGTAGGACAAACTACTGACTTAGGAAGTCGAAGTTGGATTTTAAAGTAATTGTAATGGTGCCATGTAAAAAAATGCAGTAGATAACTGACAGCCTTGTTGACGTTCAGTCAATGTGACCGTCAAATCTATTATGCGGGACGCAGTGCGGTCTCTAAAGCTAAGGAGGGGCGCAGAGTGACCATTCTCGTTACTTTTTTATTCTCTGCTTTGGTAAAAGGTCAGTTATCATTGGTGATAACTTTGCAATAAAGTGAAAGGGCTGTGCACGCGCAGATACGTAAGTTACTGGCACTATTCACAAATATTCACACAGGCACTTAAAAATTCTTAAACTAGTGACATCTCTTACCTGAGGGCTCTGTCTTCTTTCTCCTTTTCCATGTCGACGATCTTTTCGAGGAGGGCTTGTTTGGCTTTCTCGACATTGGTTGGAGTACCGGTCACCTTAAACACATATATTTACAGTTTACTATGTGTTCGAAATATAACATATACAAAACTTTCAGAGCTTCTATATGAAATTACAGACTGCTGGACCACTCTGGTATTTTCAAGGAGAGATGTTATTAATCTATGTAAAATAAAAAACAAAATGCAAAGGCTCTGGCCTTTTGAAGAAAAAAAACGGCATTATTTTGAGGAGTTCACTAGTAGTAGATTTCACTAAATGTGCCGATGTGTGTAAATGTGCCATTAACAATACTGCTCTCGGATTGAAAAACCGGCATCACTAACATTTTTTCATACATATAAACATAATGAAAAGACCATACTTTATGGCTTCAAAGGGTTTTTGTATATATTTTCCGAGATGCCAGTTTCAGATTTTGAAATTGGATGATTTAATTTCGCCTTCCCCTTTCTATCATCGGAAGACCAGACGTAAGCTGGGACAGGACTCCTTCACTCGCTCGAGGTTACGCGATAAGTGCCTACCGATGAGTGTATCGCCGACAGTGCAAGCGCTCAGACAAATCTTTTATTTACATTACAATCTTTGTACAACCACAGCATTCGGTTCCGCACGACTGCACACGGCGGGCAACGTTATTTTCACCTCTCTGAGCGCGTGCTTAGGTTCCATCCATTTCCATCAGTGAGATAGTGTGTAATAATGAGTAGAGAGTAAATGTATACTTCTTTTTTTATTAAAATTTTATCTATACGTTTTTTAGACTTATGAAGCGATTTACTAAGAGTTTTCATACCTTGACTATGTCGCTAGTGTCGTCATTAGGGGGCAGGAGTATGTGTACGTCGTAAGTCTGCATGAGCTCGCGCCTCTTCTGGCCGGCAAGTAATTTGTGCAGCTCGTTCGGCACTTCCACGTCGATCGTTATTGGCACCTATAAAAAAAATACACACTTTACCGGTCCGTCTCTGTTAATGAGCAACGTAGCTGAACACTCATGTGTCACATTTTTCAGTCATAAATGAAAGAAGAATGGTTCAAACTGTTTAATGTTTTGTATTGACCTTTCGTCGTCACTTCAGATAAACCTACAAGCTTTAGAGGCAGTCATTTTGACAATCTACCGCTATCTTGTCACAGTTCTTAAATAGAAGACCATGTGCTTTATGAAAGGATCTTTTATGCATTTGCCATGTCTTACAGAAGAAGCGAATATAACAATAAATAAACATTTCTTATTTTCATATATTTATATTTTGCAGTAGAGTTCCTTGTGAAAGAGTTCAGCCAGTGTAGTACTGCCACCTTACCTATTTCTGCCGCCAAGCAGTAATGTCAGCATTACTGTGTTCCGGTTTTGAAGGGTAAGAATGTTGGTGAAATTACAGGCACATGGGACTTGTCAACTTGTCTCAGGGTGACGGGCGCAGTGGCAGTGCCCCTCAGATCTTTGTGATTTAAAGCTCTTAATTGCCATTCAGCATTTGCCATGCAACTGTTATGGACAGGCGTGTAGCTTACCAGCAGGCGTGCGATTTGTTCATCCCGTTACTAGATATTATAAAAAATACATATTTTTCAGTTGCCAAGAGTGGTAGCCACGTTGAGGCAACAGACACTGGTTCGAGTCCAGTCGGATCGAAGGAATTTTTCTTTATGTTTATTCGCTTTTTGTATCAATGATAATAACAAACTACAGGCTTACCGCTTATCTGAGTCGCTTCCTGTGGTATGGTGGAGTGACAGTTTACGTAACAGTTACATCGCGATGCACACGGGCTAATTTCAACAAGATATTTCTGACGATATCTCAATAGCAAATTGTTGAAAAAACCTACCAAATTAATCAATTGTTGTAATGTGAAACGATAATAATAAAAAACAAATAATTGAAATTAGTAGACTAAACGTACTTTTTCAAACAACTTATAATATGATCAGAAAAATGTTATTTAAATTATTACATGTGCAGCGCGACATAACTGTTATGTAAAATCTCTCTCCTCCCGCACCGCAGAGCTACCTCAGGAACCGACTCAATTAAGCTGTAGGCCTTTAGTGGTTTATATTTATGAAGTTAATGAAAACATTATGACATTCAATAAAAATGGATATTTTACATCTTGAAAGCAAAATTGTTATTACCTGTTCAAGGAGAGCTTTCTTCGCAGCTTCACAGTTTTCTGGCCTGCCAGTGATCTTAATGATATCATTGGTACCAGGCTCAACGCTCTCCTCATTGTTCTTCACGGGGATATCAGCCGCCTCATTGGTGTCACGCTCGGGGAACTTAATCTGCACGTCGAATTCAGCCGTGATGTCCTTCACCTTGGCACCGCGCGCTCCCATCACCGTGCGGTGATGTCTTTGTGGAATCACGCATTCAATCGTCACCTGTCGATATGGTACCATCAATGGATATGTCCCACTGAACTGGGCACCGGTCTCAGAGGAGCCGGGTTATTAGGCTAATATGATTCGATCATTCGTTAACAAAATTACGTCCAAATAAAAGTAAACCCTATGGACAAATAAATGGCCTTTTCCTAATAACTAATAATGTAACTAATATGTCCTTATGCTCCTATCGTAACGTCGTATCTAATAAGTACACTGAACTAGAATAAAAAAATATGAAAATAAAAATATCTTTATTTTATAGGTAAGAATAAAATTACACTTGAAATCGTTGACCTACCAATAAATGGAGTCGGGTTCGCGCTAAAAAGTGTCCGCACCTGTAGGGCGTTAAAATCGCATACAGAGCGTCAATCGCGCAATAGTCTTCGTCTGTTCGAGTGACAGCGCGGTTGTCAATCATGCGGTACCAATATATGCAGTACAAATAATAACTTGTAAAAATTACTGCAGTAAAGTGTGAAAACAGGATTTTGTATCATATTTTCACTAACAACAACAAATATATTGTGTTAACATATGTAGTTGTCATTTAAGTGTTATTTTGTACAGTTTTATAGTATTTAATTTATATATAACTGAATCGTAAATATAAATTACAAAAGCACACGAAATTATGAAATAGTTAACCGTCCTTTTTCTACTCATTGCATGCGCAAAAGATGGAAAGAGACCCATTACGTCAGTTTCAAGAAGCTTATATAAACTTCTTGGTAATTTTCAACTGTTCGAACCACAAGCGATTGAAATATTTAGAACAAAGAAACTGTAGAGTTGCGTTGAGTTGAGTTGAATTTTCAGTCGAAGCTAAATATGGTGCATTTTGTTAAGTTTCCAGTAGAAGCTGAATATAGTGTTTTTGGGCCCTTAAATTGTTGTAAGCAAATTTAGGCAGTACTGCAATGACGTTACAATTTAAATTAAATGTTTTAGTCTTTTATATTTCGTTACCTGTCACTATGTTTGTATAGGTTAACCTCGGTCATTTTTTTCGTGGTTTTTGTATTAGACCCGATGTCCATTTGTTGGTAGGTTAATGCTTGAAATCGTCACTTTGTGCTCTTTCATAAGGCAGATTCCTCTGAGAAGAATAATCAAGAAACTCTAGGGGTTGCTCTTTAAAATTAATATAGGAATTTAAATGTACATACAGAAACAACCTGAAAGAGCTAAACGGATCACTATCATGGATTTAGAGAATCGATAACATGTATACGAGTGCTACAATATCAACTACATATAAATATAGGTGATAGTACATTGTAGGAGCATGAGGACATCTTTATCCTTTTGGTCCTACCAGGAGCATAAGGACATTTAGTCCTCGTGCTCCTACCACTAGGAGCACCCAGTAGGAGCATGAGGAAACGGCCAAATAAATGTTTTTTGTCCTTGAGGTTTAGAGCACATACTTGGTTATGAATGAAGTGGAAAAAGTATTACTGTGTCAAAGGTAACCCTCTGGTACCAAAGAAAGCCGTAAGGGGAACGCACCTTGGCCTCTAAATCCTCAATAATCTCCAGGATGCGCTGTTTAGCGGCCTCGATGCAGTCTTTCGGCCCCTTTAGGACAACGCGATCCGAGTTGACGCCCTGGCGAGGGAAGGAGATCTGCACGCCGCCGCAGTCGTCGGCTATACGGCGCAGTACTTCTCCTCTTCGTGCTACGAAGTGGCGGTGGTGGCGGGGGGGTACAGCCATGTCGCCCTCGGCCACATTGCTGATTTCGGCTACGGCCACTTCCAGTTGACGCCGCGCTGCCGCCACCTGACAGGAAGATGTTTAATTTATATCACGAAACAAAAACTATGAAGTTATATTAAATAATATGTTGAGTAGTCATTTTCCCGCAATTGTTACGCATTGGAAAAATAACTATTTATTGACTCAGAGAATCAGCTGTGCGGCCCGAAACGTTGGTTTGTTTGAAAAAACCAATATACGCGTTTTAGATCCGGAAAAATAGTTATATTTCCAATAAAATAACAATAAATTGCGTATAAAAAATGTTTCACTGTTTATACCACAACTAGTGACATTGTATGTACCTAATGTCTACCTATAGAGCAATGGGCCACAGCTGAACGTTTGGTTAGCACCAAGATTGAGGCACTGACTATACCGATTTTTCTTTTTAATTATGGGCTGACACAGAAATAATCCTTGTACCTACCTGTTCTTCGCGACCAATGATGTAGATTGCCTCCTTGTCCTCATCCTTTTCTGTTGGGAAGATGATGCGAGCGCCGGTCTGCTCGCGGATCTTCTTGATATTGGCACCGTTTTTGCCGATAAGGAACTTATGATGCTCAGACCTGGCTCGCACCTGTGCCGTGTGGGAAGTCAACTCGCGCTCATTCGCATGTGCCAATAACTGCTGCTTGGCCTTCTCAACATCTTCTATCGGCCCTTTGATCACCACCTTATCGCTGTCACTGTCAGCTGGCGGGAACTTGATCAAAACACCGCCGCACTCCTCCATTATAGAGTGGATCAGCTTACCGCCAGCGCCGATCAAAGAGTTGTAATATTTAGGTGCGATTGTTACTTCTTCAGTGACCACATTGGCTTTTTCATTATGGATCTGTTGTATCCTTCTCACGGCGTCTTCTACGTTCTCCCGCCGGCCTCTGACGGTGATGACGTCACTGTCGTCGCCCTCGGCTGGAAGATCGATCTGGGTCTGCGTCTCGTCCCGGATCTTTCTAAGGTTGGCACCGCCCTTGCCAATGATAAACTTGTGGAATTGTTTAAAGATAGGCACCTCTTGCACGTACGATGATTCAGCTATTTCTTTGAGGAGCCTTTGAAGGTATTTCTCGCATTTCTCGATATCTTCCTGAGGCCCTCTCAGTTTGATGGGGCTCCTTTTTTGTCCCTGGTCAGGCAGCGTGATGAGTACGCGATCGAATCTCTCACGAATCTCCTTAATCTTGTCCCCTCTGACCCCGATGAGGGATTTTATGTACCTGTGGTCTACGACTATCTCTTTCGTTCGCTCATTTTCTAATTTCATAACCATTTCTCTTAACTCCCTTTCGGCCTCGGCGACACCTTGATGGCTGCCTTCGATGCGAATCACATTGTTTCCTTCGTTTTCTATTATGTTAATAACTACGCCAGTCTCATCCTTCAGTCTGTTAACTGTAAACCAAAGTTGATATTTAATAGTGATATCAGTGCCATTTTCCTGATGAGTTGCCAGGGATGGATGGCCCTTATTTCGTCTCTATTTCTGGTTATATACTCGATAAAGAAATTATTCCACAAAATAATTGCAAATTAAATAGGATGGCAAATTAGGGGATGAATCCAGTTTATTGGACTTCACTCACTTTCCGTTAACCGGTTTCAGTAAAACTTGGCAAATAGACGTAACTCCAAAACAATTAAGGTCGGTTTTTTAAATGAAAAAAAAAAAAGGTTATAATTTTCTTTCGTAGTGGACTAAAGAGCTGATATGCAAATAAGACACTATCTAACTTACTGTTAGTTCCATTCTTGCCGATAATGTGCTTGAAGAACTTGGGATCAACGGACAATTCGACATAGGTGAGTGTGGCGAGGAGGTTCTTGACGAACTCGTCGAGTTCCAATTGCGCGCGTTCAACCTCCTCGGGCGGGCCATCGATCTTCACTTTGTCCTCAGAATGCGTTATATCCACGTGCACCTAAACAGACATTGTCAAAATATAACGAGCTCTTAAGTAGGAAATGAAACTATTTTTCCGGATTTAAATCGCGTATATTTGTTTTTTCAAAAAGCTGAGCTCTGAAGTTTTCGCGATTGTTACACATAAGAAATGAAACTAATTTATCGAATCTACATCGCGTATAATTGTTCTTTCAAACAAATCAACATCACGGGCCCTTTAAAAGTTACGGCTGACTGAGATGGTGTTTGAAAAAAAAAACGCTATTTAGATCCGAAAAAATAGTTTAAATGTCCTATCAAAACATACTTTTACAACATTGGTTAGGTTCGTTATTAATATTCCATAAAGCGTGAAACACACTGAGAACGTGTGCGGGTCGGGCGCGTGTCGGTTCGGGAGCATGGCGGGTGTAATTCCATGTATTTATATGGACAACACGACACGTGCGGGTGCGGAACGGGCGCAGGTCGGGTCGGAATTACGCCCGCTGTACTCCCGACCCGACATGCGTCCGATACGTACCCGTTCGATGTGTGTTTCACGCATAAGAAGGATAATTTTACGCGTATTAAAAAAAATGCTTCTGAGTTAGGTTAACAAGCATACAAGGCATGGTCAGCATTAAAATGGTTTGAGCGTTTAAACAAACTACTAATACCCGAGTATTTGGTAAAAATCAATGACAACCAAAAAACTTTAAAATAAATTAAAGGTGCTCTTTCAATTGCAACTAGAATTCATATAATATACACATACAATTCACGTCTTTTCCCCGATGTGGTGTAATACCAATGGATTATTTGAAATAAATGTTTCGGAATTATGCTTACTTTTGAGAAGTCCTGGGTTATTTTCTTGATATTAGAGCCGTTCTTTCCGATGATGTACTTGTGTATCCACGTGGGCGCGTCTACGGTCGCAGTCTTCACCGAGTTCGCCTTTTCACATACCTTCGACAGAGCTGCGGTGAAAAAAAAATTATAATATTATATTAATATACTTGTTAAATCAATTCTGGTAAAGGGCATCAACAAAAAGTTTCACGCAAACTTTCAATTTACGACAGTGAGGGATAGTGTGCAGTCACTAACCCTTAATCAAATAAAAATAAATTATTTGCCACGGCTATTTTTAAGTAACCAATTAACTATGATGCTACATTCTCAAGTTCTAAAGGTATAATGTAAAATATGTACTAGAAAAAGAAAACATGATGTTCCCGTTTCTTTAAAACACAAAATTAGCAATGGACTTCCATCTACGACCCTTAATTACCAGGGATCCACTACTGTAGATTATTATTATAGTTATTGATCATTATACAGCATTTATATCAAAATATCGACCAAACAAAACTGTTATAAGACCTCAGTTTTTTATACATACCCAAACCAATCTTGTTATGGGGACCATGCAGCGTAATGGTGCCAGTAGGAGAATCCGGAGGCGGCATCTCAACAGATACACCAGTTTCCTTCAAGATCTCCTGGATGGTAGTACCACGAGCACCAATCACGTACTTGTGTTGCGACTTGGGCACTTCTACTCGCACGGTTGAGCATTTCTTCTGCTGTTTGCGAAAGATAATTTTTTTTTAACCTTTTTGCTCTGCAGTAACTTTTGCTTTCAGTAGCAGTAGTATCTTTTTTATGAACAAAGATAAGTCCGACTTAAGCATAAAAAAAAGTTTTAAGTGCGATTCAAGTCATTAATTGGTATTTATGAACGATTTTTATATCGCAGCTCACTCTTAACTCGGTAACTCGGTCTCAGGATCGAGTTAATTGGCACTTGTATAAAACCAGTCTTTAGCTGTCTAAGTCGGACTTGGAAACATTTTTATCACTGTGTTATTTGCGTTTTCTTTTGAGTTTACCGACTCTTTTTTGTACCTTTATATTTTTGAGGGTTTATAAATTTGATTTAAAAATTTAATTAAAAAAATTAGGTACCTTTTTTTTTGTTTACAGATTTGTATTGAATTATTTTTTTTTATAAAATGGACGACTTTGAGGCCTTCATGACTAATTATTTGGAGAACGAAGACGATTACCGTGTTATAAGAGCACCTAAAAAATATCCAAGGGACCCTGGCAATATCTTGGAAGTACTGGATGACGAACAGTTTTTCAGCCGATACAGGTATGAAAATTTGACGTGTATAGTAAGTAAGTAGGTAAATATTATGAAGTACAAATTATTTCATATTTATGAAGTACCATTGTGGGATAAACTGCACCACGAAGCCAATCCTTTTGATAGTTCACAATGTCAAAATACTTCTATAAATCTTTGTACCAGTAATGAAAAAAAACCCACAAGTTGTAGGTTTTTATCCAATTATATACCTAACTATAAAGGAACTTCACCAGGCAGAAAAACACCAGTTTTGTTTACTGCTATCTTCTTGTTTTGGTTTGTCATTTCACATAGGTTTAGAAAAGTGCAATGGAATCTATCTTGTCTGTTCCTGAACCTCGTGAAAACCCAAGAAATTTCATACTTCATTTATTTCAACATACAGTTCAACACACTCTTAAGATATAGAAATAAGTTGTATCCCTACAGCCCTACAAAAAAATTATCAGTAAAACAGTGAGAGATAACTCATATCTTCATCGATTTTCATTTAATGTTCCAGATTTTCCAAGAAAACAGTTGTAAACACCATTTTCCCACTAGTGTAAAACGTTTGCGTTGGTCAGTCAAAAAGAGGAGTGGTGTTCCTATCAGTTTTAAAATTATATGCTACAGGAAATTTTCAGGTTTGTATTTATACATACATCTTCTTTCCAATTTTATGAGTGAAAAATATTTATATTGTACTGATTTCTTTCATTAACTCTTTTAAAATAGGGAATATTAAGGACTCTCATGCTAATGATACTTAATCACTTTCATTGTTGCAGACAAGTACTGGAGATGTACATGAGATGTCCCAGCCAACAATGTGCCACTGGATTAGAAAAATTAGCACATATTTGGCATTGTGCCATAACAAACGGATTCAATTTCCACAAGACCTAAGAAATACCAAAGCAGCATTCCACCAGATTGCAGGTTTTCCCAACGTTGTGAGGTATATACATTGCACCCACATTCCTATTCTGTTGCCTTCTGTTGAGAGAGGTGAAGATTTAAAAAAAAAAAAAATATTTTTATTCATTAAATGTCCAAGTAGTGGTGCTAACATATTACATAAACAAAAGTGCCGCACGACTGGATCGTGACAATAACAACATCTACGATAACCTTTGATGCGATCTATACGCATGCGAAGCCAATTTCGCTTAACACCAAGGGGCTTCTTACACAAATACACTGTATAAGAAGTACTGTAAAGTGTCATATGTTATAAGGTCGTCATTTACTAGCAAAACATTTTCTTAAGGGTTTGTTGAGCATATGAAACCAAACAAGTTGTGTAGGTACATGAAACCTTATAATAGAAGATCACCGATCACATCGCACATAATAATTATAAAATGTTTGATCAAATTTATGTTTTGAAGACATATTTGTTTGATTCTAGTTTTATCTATTTTGTAGTTTTACTACATTGCAACAAAATAGATAAAACTAGAATCAAAGAAATATGTCTTCAAAACATAAATTTGACATCCGCGCGAAACAATTACTGCCAAATAAACACTACTTGACCAAATCAAAAGACGCGTGATGCGATTGAAGCTTCATTCTTGATACTTGTCTTTTAATTTTGTCGAATATTACTTATTAGACAGTAATTGTTTCGGACGGATGTCGGATGGACATCGAGAGTAGACCCCCTTTTCTTTTTAACTTTTATATAGTTACGTAAGGGTAACCTGATGTAGCCCATACAATTGAACCGTAAAGGTGTTTGTCAAACTTGACAAACTATCGTTATTATGAAGCGCAAGCGCAAGCCTGAAGAATAGCGCTAAATGGAAATGGCAACACTATTCATACAGTACTATTTAGTCATAAATATAAGACCAAAGAGAAGTACCTTGACGTTTTGGAATCACATTATAACTCGTACATAAAATTCAAAGTAATACTATAAATGCGAAAGTATTTAACTTTGTTACGTTTTCACACATAAATTGCTGAACCAGGCTCTGTACTCGTACTTGATTTGGCCGAGTATTACTTATTTGGTAGTAATTTTTTCGGGTCGCGGGTGCCATGAACACAAACAAACACAACCATGAATTATACCCAAATTCACGAGAGAAAGAAATGTAGGTAATACAAATATTTGTTGTTGTGTGTATTTGTATGCACAGTGAAATTATATTCTTCCTATGCAAATTAACGAATGTAAAATTATCCGTACCTAATTTGATAGCACGTTATATAGATTTGACAGCAAGTCTGATATGAATGTTCCATCTCAGTCTTATACACACCATTTCCTCGTAGATTGCTTCAATTTGTGCTTTAGCAGCCAGCACGCCGTTCTTCTCCCCAGCGATGACGATGACGTCACTCTGAGTGGATGCAGGAGGGATGTGGATGCGCGCGCCGGTCTCCGCGCTGAGAGCAGCCGCGCGCTCACCGTACGGCCCTTGGATGAACGGGTGGTAGATCTTCGGAACCGAAATACGCTCGAGTGCCTTACGCGACTGTTGACAGAAGCAATTTATTTATAAGCACATCTACAATGTACAGGTTTATTTGTAAAATAGTAACAACCCCGCGGGACTATATTACCGACATCATAAACAACGACGGAAGTCGTTCCATGACTTTTAAAAAAATACAATATAGTTACAAAAAATAAAACTTTTAAGTTTCGGTTGTACTATCTGACACTTTTTAGTTCTACATTTTAAGCAACGCCTTCAGTGTGCTTGTCATTCGTAAAAATAATTATTGTGGTGGGTATTTTCTTTTGCTAGTTACTTAATTATTTTTGTTTCTGTAAAACATAATGCATTATTAAAAGCCATGGAACGAAAGTTGTAGTTTATGATGTTAGTAATTATAGTCCTGCGAAGCTCTAAGTATTTAACAAATAACCCTGTAAATAAAACTTATATTATACAGGGTGACAGGTTGAACGAAATAATATTTAAAGAGGCAAACGAGTAGCTGATATCTAATCCGAATATGTTAAAAGAATCGCCCCTAAACAAAAGAAAAAAAAATTGTGCCATTTTACTAATCTAACTAACACTCTTTATTTAAGCTACTCTATGAAACAGAACAACTGAGCGATAGGAAATTGAACTCTCGCGTTGACACGCGTCTTCCGTCCTATTAAAAATAATTCAATTTTCCCTTCATTCAAAGCGTGCGCAGAGGCCTGTAAGGGTAGCGGGCACTCGCTGCATGTTCGATCTTGCACAGAGTACTACAAAATTTTAGGTAATTTCCCTTATAGAAAAATATTTAAAAATGAGGTAGTGTTTTTTTACATATTCGGTATAGGTATCATCAGCTACGCTACATTCGCCTCTTTAAATATTTATCTCGTTCAATCTGTCACCCTGTATATTAAATTGTGTAAAGAAAAGTCCACGCTACGAATCTTCTCAGAGAAGTAAGGCTAATATTATTTGAATAGAGACAACTCTTAAGTATATTTTATACTTCAAGTTATTATGATAATTCACCAATTAAGTCCTTTATTATTTTTGATGTAAAGATCGCGCAACACAAGAAAAATTCCTACAATCTGACTCGAACCAGTGCCTGTTGCAATGTCGCGGCCACCACTCATAGCCAATTTTCTTTTGTGTCAATAATAATGACAAAAATGAAATGAAAAAAAAATACGAATATCATGGTAGTCAAACATCATTGTTTTTTATTTTTTGTAATAATATGTACGTGTCACGTGACGAGACGAACAAGGGCTATCATGATATGCAATAAATAAATATTACAAGCATGTGCTTGTCGTTAAAAGAAATTCAATAACACGCCATTTAGTAACTATAACATAACCAAGGGGTGTGAATTCATACAAATTAAATTTAGTACATATTTAAAACGGTAGATGGCGCACTTGGGTAAATAAAAAATAACAAGTATTTAATCTCTATTCCAGATGTCATAGTGGATAAGAAGCATTGACCTACGAATAAATAGGTCAATAAGAAGTATAAAATATAAAAAAGAAATGTGAAGCTATACAGGTGATTTTTTTGTCATCGTCCAAATTTTTTCCAGCCGCTAGGTATCATACAAAGACTCCATTTCCGAAAAATAATTGATAGGTAGGATGAATGCCATACGCTAACCGCGCGGATTCTCCAATCATACGTCAATCAAAGCAAAATGCCGCCACTGCCGCCGCCCGCGCCGAACGCTATTGGCGGCTGTCACTTCAGTCGTCCCCATGTCGTCCCACGCCCGTGTAGCGCTTCGTACGTGTGTGCAACGCTATCTCGCTATTGAAAACGCATTCACGTGTCACTATGTATACAAACCGCGAGTACTTTGAAATGGTCAAGTGCTATTTTATAAGTGATGAAAGCCTAAACGGAGCCCAGAGACTATACGAGTCAGAGAGCATTCCTCGCCTTCGCAATTATGGAATAGCAAGTCCTACAGTCCCTAACCGCCAAACGTTTCTGCATGTCATACAGAGGCTTTTAGACCATGGCCAGTTTACGACGCCTTCACACGCCCAAGGACGTGGTAGGCCGCGACTGTCCGTGAAAATCGAAGACGAAATCTTCGATTTTTTCGAGAGAGATCCAAGATGAAGTACACGTGATGCAGCTCGACGGTTCAACGTTAGCCAATACGCTGTGTGGAAGCTGTTCAACACCTCTGGATTGCACCCTTATCACTTTCAAAAAGTGCAAACGCTAAATGAAGCAGACGCGCTGCCTCGTCGAGTTTTTTGCGAGTGGCTGATCGCACACCCCGATGCGGTCATTTTATGGACTGATGAAGCCCTAATCACACGTGTGGGGCTGTACAACCAACATAATGAACATTGGTGGTCGTTACGCAACCCGCACATGATAAAAGACAATTATCACCAAGTGCGTTTTAGTGCAAATGTGTGGGCCGGGATTGTCGGTGATAAAATTCTAGGGCCGTATTTTATTGAGGGGCGGCTGCCGGAGGCACCTATCTCAATATGCTACAAAGCATAGTCTCTGATTTGATGGACGATGTACCGCTAGCCCTCATTAACCATCCTGCTTTTTATTATTAGCATGACGGTGCACCGACGTGAGGAATTATTTAAATATGGAATACGGGAATCGCTGGATCGGCCGCGGGGGTCTCGTTCCATGGCCACCCAGGTCACCAGGCCTCACCCTGTGACTTTTTTTTGTGGGGCGAAATTAAACGCCGCGTGTATGTGGAGGAGGCCCAAAGCCTCAACGAATTGAAACTAAAAATTGAAAATGCATTTGCACAAGTGAAAAGTGACACTACAATGCCGAACAAAATACAAGACAATATTCAAAAACGTGCAAGAATCTGCTTGGAGAGGAATGGTTTACATTTTGAGCAATTATTAAAATACTGTTAAAGTTGTTACGCTAAGGTAATTTTTATTTGATTTTAATTAAATGTACATAAGTTGATTCAAATTTTTTAAATACGCCTTATTGCAAAAGGCATGGCCTGCTTTTATTTTTATACTTCTGTGTACGATACGAGTGTGGACTACATTTGTCGTAAATCGATGTTTTGTTTAAATTTATTGATATTATTCATTGACTTACAAATAAATGGACGACGGGTCTAATACAAAAACCACGAAAAAAATGTCCCAAGTCAACCTATTCGAAATTTAAATCGTAATGTCATCGCAGTATCGCGCTGTCAGTAGAACAAATGAAGACTAAAGCGGAGTGTCGCGCTCTGTATACGATTTTAGCGCCTTACAAGTGCGGACACTTTTTAGCGCGGACCCGACGTCCATATAATTGTAAGTCAATGATATTATTATAAAATGTTTCTAGTTCACTAATAAAAAACACCACGTGCGTAGATAACAAAAGGGCTTAATTACTTGCTAAATACTAATTCGTTACAATTCATCGTAGGAAGCGAACCTTTTATTTGTTTGTCTCACAAACAAAAGTAAAGATTAATTTCTTTTGTTCTCTACACATGGTAAAATTTTTAGTGACTTTGAAATTCAATAAGTAAATTCTTCGATGGCCTTCGGTAACACAACGCTTTAAATGCGTAGAGGTTAAGTTCGGGAAACGAACTTTCCTAATTAGGTGTGTTTATCAGGTGCATTATTTTGTAATAATATCATTAAATTTTGTCAAACCTCTAAAACAATTTACTTATAAATAACTTCCGCTCTCGTTTTCGTGCGTTAATGTAACAAAATCTTGACTTGAATTCGAATTCATTGTCTACATTCTAAAATAACATCACAAAAGCCTTTTGTAACTTGACGGTCCTAAGCCCGTGAAAGTATGAAGGGAAAATTTGCAACTTATGTATTTTATCAATGACGCGGGGGGTGGCCTAGCGCGCATATCGAGTAGGCTGTCCACACGCGCGCAATTTTTTAAAACAATTTTGCGATGGCATATCTTAATTTTAGTATTGATTTACACTAAAAGGAAAATTTGCGCATGTTATATTTTCACTAAAGATCATAATATGAAAGTATGGACGATGACTAAAAATTCACCTGTATAAACAACATTTTTAACAATTCACTCATTAAAATTGGTGTAAATGTTCGTTTTTTAATAATAATAAAAAACACTTTAGTTAATCATTTTATGTTCCAATAGTTTCACTGGCAGATTTGACGGTTTCATTTCCGACATTTGAAAAACAAAGACATTTAGAAAATCATTCATTTTGGGAAAATGGATTTTTGAGGTTTGAACAATATGTTGAATAGTACATAACGACATTCTGACCAAATCAAACAGAAGGAAAACATGTAACAATCGTCGAAAAAATAACAAATCGAAGATTTCGCAATGGTACTTTTCTTAATTTGTTAGTTTGCTATCAATTGTATAGATGGCACTTTCTTGAATTTATTCTCGAAACTAAGTATAGTATATTATAATCACCACCAGAATAAGAGCAATAAATAACCTTGACAATAATGTAATATCCGCCATCTGTTGGCCTTTTCGAATACTATTACAATCGCGTACAATATTTACTTACTTGATACCATCTATTAATTACCGTTAAGAGCTCTCATGCCAAAAAAGTTTTGACGTTGGCTCCGCCCAAATTTGTGAAACAAATATATGCCTGAAGTTCGCGTGACATGCGACAGATGTTGAATTTTGCGCATTAAAAGTACCAAATTCGTTTTAGCAGAATACTCTAAAATTAAAGGGAATAAAAAAAAATCCGTAGTGACAGTTGTCGATCATGCATAAATATAATTAATTATCTAATTTTTGTCCTAATAACCTGTAGCATTTCGAGGATAAATCGAAAAAATGTGAAAATTAGAGGTCATTTCGTGATTTTTATCTATCGAGGAAACTTTATTGTTTCATATTGCTGATTAATGTTTATGCTTGAATATATCGTGTAGTTACTTATACAATATTTTATTTTTAACTTTAAACTGGATATATCCCTCTAAAATCAAATCGAAGATTAGGAATTTTTCCTCTGCTCCCTCTTAAGAATCAAAACAAGTGTCCGAATAAGCGGAGTTACGAGTGCGACATTTCTTTGTATGAGATTGGGTATCTGTACTAGTATAGCACATAGTATAGTATTTGTGCTATAACTGTATTCGCAAGTTTATGACCAAGGCGTAGCTATATGTCACAAACATGCCGCAAAAAACATTAATCTTTGTTATAGCTTCGCTATAATCGGGTGGAAATATTGTTAC